AAAATTTATCACTTTAACCTCACTATACTTTATCTTTAGTAAACTATTCTATGTATATAATAAATGAGTCTTATTATTTTCAAATCATTTTTCTGAAATTTTTTTACATTTATATCAACTATTATTCTGTTCATGTTTATCAACCTTAATCGCATACTAGTTTTTCAAAAAAAGAAACGTTACATTCAATACCCAATTTGAACTTAAAACATAATTATCCTTCTCATTCATTCATAATAATGTGACTGGTACCATGATTGTATATATATATATATATATGGTTGTAGTTGCATACAAAACTTTTTAAGAATAGAAAGTTCTAATTCATGTCCAAATAATTTATCACTTCGACATAATACAATTGGAACAATGATAGTGTAATAATTATGACATGATGCCGTATATTTAAAATTTATATTCGAAAATAATGAGCAGATTAACAAAAATGACAGGATAACAAAAACAATGCAGATTACAAGTCAACTAAATAACTATTAAACAAGGAAAATATAGTAAAGTGGGAGGAGAAATTAAAAGTGATTGGTCAAAAGAAGAAAACAAGATACAACAGTATCAATGTTAATAATAATGACCATTATATATATATATATATATGCTCATAGTGGTTGAAATTTTCACTAGAAGTTAGGATGATGTCTTGTTTGTTTAAATATTGTATTTGTCATTGTTTCTGATGAACATTTCAACAACCACCACACATCATAAACAGCTGTATATATGCACAGTCCTTTTGTGTTCATTTCAATATCTTAATCCATCCTTCTCTATTATATCTATCGTATCTTTAAAAAGGAGAGAGAAATTTGCATATTGTTACTATTGATTCATTCATTTCTAGAAAGAGAGAGAGCGAGAACAAACAATAAGGCGAATAATAATAACAATAGGGATTAAGACAAACACTTACAACATTATGATATAAATGATCATTTAAAATTTATTCAGTGAAAGTTTTGTTTTTGATTAGTCAATGTAAAGATGATCATTTGATTTAAAAGAAAATAATGCTAATACATTAGTAGTAGTAACAATTATTTTTTAAAAAAGTTTAATATTTTCTCTTACCGACGATAACTAAAAGTTGCAAACAAAAACTAACAAGAGAGCAAAATGAAAAGGACCAAAACTTAAATTATCAACAACTAATATTGTGTGTTTTATTTTGTTTCATTAAGTTAAACGTGCAATTAGAGTGAAACTATTATTTTACCGTTTTAAATACAAGAATTTATGAACTAACAATACATAAAAATACATATTGTACTTCGTCTAGATCATATAAGACATGTTATTGAATATTTATTCTATAACTGGAAACTATTTATTTGTTTATGGTTAGCCTTTATAGCTAATCTCATTCTGATATTGATTTCCCATGTTCTATAAAATACGATTACGTGACAAAAAACCCAGATAAGTCAACCTGAAGCTCTTAAAGACGGATTATATTCTTTAGATTTTCTGAGAGAGAGAGAGCAAGAATGAAGATTTCAGCAGTACCAAACCATTATTTTTAACCTTTTCATGGTAGTAATGTAGTGAATAAGAACACGAGTGGGGACAATCGAATGTATTTAAGCACTAACTACAGACTAACCATACAGTGAACAGTTAATTTGCAAAATAATAATCAATTGTCTCAATCTTAACTGTTCCTTCTGCAAATATCAGTCCGTCTTCTCTGATTTCATTGTTCATACATTTTCGTACCGATTGAGCTTCATTTCTGTTTTTCCTTATCGATCTTCTGCCAAAATACATTCTATGTCTGACCATCACCATATACTATGTATGTAGATATAAGTAGACCACACCACAGTAAAGGGAAATGTATACATAAGATTTATAATCTAATGATTCTCCAACGTACTTTTTATATACCGGTCTTAATTAAATTTTTTAAAGGAATAATTAAGATTTAAATTGTCAAAGATAAATAATGGACAAATTCTATTTTTCATTAAATATTCACTCAGTTTTATGAGTAATATATTCATGATATAACGTTTGTTTCGATGTCTGCGTGATAACTCTTTTGTAATTCAGTGATCGTATAACGTTTACAGTCATGGTTAAAGACCTATTAATTATTGTGGTTATTATGTATATTCATCTGTCAAATTGCAAACGTGGCCAAAAACGAGACAAAGGCTCCTCCGTTTTAGATAATTCCTGGGATGGTGTCAGGAACAGGCGGAAGCTGATTTTAAATCAAATTGATGTTCACAAACTTCTCAACCAAATAAGAATATCAATATGATGACAGCCATAAAAATAACCTGACAATTGTCTTTCATGCACTCAGAGCTCAATTCCTGTGAAAATATGTATTCTAACCTTAAAACCATTTGAAATTGCATTAAACAAATCAAACCAAATTTTTTTAAGGACATCACTGAGTAAAGCGCTTTTCAACTAGTCAGATTACCACGTTATTAAACATCACTTGTACAAATCGAGAATAAAGCAAAAAAGATTATAAGTTTAGGCGTAGTTATGAAGGCTGTAGAATTCTTACAGTTTGAATCATGAACTGATCTTGGTTAGGTCGCCATTGGAAACCTAGAGTCATTGGATGGCCGTCTCATCTTCATACTAGAATTCTTTTGCTGTCTAGACGTCAAGTGTTTGAGCTTGGTGTCCAAAGTTTTGATTATGATTCCCTATTGCGAGTTCGTGAGTACTTTCTGTTCATAAATCCCATATTAGGATGAAACCACCGTCCAGTTCTGTCAGGTTTACAACAGTTGTTTAACAGAAATCTTTTCGTGATTTCAATGAAATCAAACGGTCTCTACAACCTATACCAACAATTAAATTTTTTTATCTTTCTCAATAAGAACTCAAAAAATAGAGATCACCAGTTAAGTGACATATTTACTGAGTCACTCAATTCATCCTCTGAAAATATTAATACAAACAAGAAAAATTAAACAAAGTGCATTTCACATGAAAGCACCAAAATCATATTCACTTGTGAAAAATGAAATAATTTAACAAGTAAACAGATGGAAGAAAAGAGTTGATTTTTAAAGAAAGAGAAAAGGAAAAAGAATAAAGCCATTAATCAAAAGAGTATTCATGTATATAAGAGATTTTTATAATTATTCATTTATCCTGATTTAATAATAATAATTATAATAGTGACAATAATAATAATAACTGGTTATAATAATAATAATAACAGTAATAGTGATATTATATTCAATCTACTAAGTGTATAAATTAATTTATTGGTTTATATGACAAGTTTATTCCAAGCTTTTCTTTAAACTTCAACAACACAATGAGATGAAGGAAACCTACGCAAATAATAGTAACAAACAAGGGGAAAGAAAAAGAGAAAGGGGTTCCTCTTTTATCTTTCTTTTGTTTAACAACTTTTTATACCTCATAGAATACGGATAGATATATATATATATATCATGTTCAGTGAAACACTGGTTATAATAAGATTTGGGCAGGATGTTTTTTTAAAAATTTAAATCTTTCCATTGTATTTAAAAGGACAGATTGATTTCAAATAAATTGAACATGATTAAATGTAGGATTAGCGTTTCTTTCTTTTATACGGTAATGATCATAATAATGATGAGCACACCTTCACGAAATATAGAAAATTAAAAATATTTTAACATAAATTTTCAAAAAAACATCCTTACTGTCATCTTTTGTTGAATATGACCTATGTTTTATTAAATTAATGAGATAAATGTTCCAGTCGGTTTTATTATTCTCTTCTATATAAAAGCATATTAACATTAATATGTTATGTTATTATTTCTTTTATAATATTGCCGTAAAACATAATTAAAACTAGTTCACACCCTATTTTCAGGCTATGCATGCTCAAATTTATTAATGGACACAAAAGATGTTTTTCTAAATAAAGAAATCAAAAACTGAAAAGTGTTGACCTTGTTTTTATACTGATAAATGATGTATGATTAGGGGTAGGCTTATCAAGCAAAACGTGAGATAAAAAACAGAACGATTAAATTGTCCCACTAAAGAATTCTTAGTGAATAACGCGTTGAGTATTTGAAGTGATAGTTATTAGGTTGAAGTACATCCAACAGACGAGTTCTTAATAAGGCTAAATACATGTCCAAAGGGTTCTATTACTATCCACTATTGGACTTCACTTGCAAATCTTATAACTTGATGACAATATCGTACCAGTTCCCTCAGGATACATTTATCCAAAAAGGGATTGATTAGTTGTAGTCCTTAATATCAAGAACGGGAAGATTCAAAACCTTATAAATGAAAATAAGAGAACCGTTTGGTTAGAATGTTATAAACGATTAGACAAATATTTTAATAATTACTCTAATTCTCCTGTTAGTAGAAATAAATAATAACTTATAGAATCATGGATCTATTTCATAATATTCTTATAAGTTCAATTAGCGAATTTCCTCTAACTTACGAGTTTATAGAATTGAACGTTATGACGAAGACATTCTTAATATTAGAAACTTAATTGACGATAGCTATAGTATTCACTCGAATAGGATCAGCTTTTTTAATAAAATAATACCTGTACATTTGTATTAGTTTATACATAACTTCTATGCGGAATAGGAGCATCATTGAAAAGACAGATATGTATTGCGTAATCGAAATATACTGAGATATTTCCTACCTCATCGACTTTGCTCACCATAAATTAGAATTTCAAAAACTATTCATTTCAGTCATATTGACTTCAGTTTATACTTAATTTTACTTTAACAGTAATGAACATGATAATTTGCTTGCTCTCTAGTCTCCCTAGTCTATAGTTACAAAGCATAAACGGATCTATAGGTAACTGAATAAGAAGTATGTTCCACTATAATTAATGGATAATCCTTATAATATATAAATAAGCTCGAACCAAACTGGTTAGTAAAGCATTAAAATAATTTTTAAAATATTTTTTATCATCAAATTATCTTGAAATCAAAACACAATTTTTCATTTTATCTTTCAAGGTATGGTTTCAAAATAGACGAACAAAATGGCGAAAAAAGAATGCAGCTGAAATGATGTCAAGTAGATCTAATCTGTTCACAGAAAATCCAACATCTAATTTAACTACTAATGCTGTACAATTAGCTAGTGGTGATTATGATCATACGGATTTAGGAAGTGAAAGTATGAGTGGAGATGATTGTTTTTCATCTGATGATGTAAATATGACTAGACCAGAATCAAATCATTTGCCGTTAGAACAAAATTATCAATCGGAAATGGATAATGAGCAAAAACGTAATGTAACTTTCTCTATCCCAATTACTACCAATAACAATTTTCCTATCAATACTATTAGAGATAATTTTGAAGTAAGTAATAATAATATATCTATGGGAGTCGATTACACAAATACTCAGAAAATATCATCAACTTCAATTAATTTGGATAAAGATAGTAATTCTTGCAAGCAAGCACAATTAAATGATCTAAATTTATTAAACTTAATGTCTAAATCACTTGAACATCAGCAGGAATGGTTTCAAAAATATAACCAATCCAATCCACTTAATATATCACCTACCCAAATGATTAATCCACAACATTCTTCCTTTCTTAATGCATATGGTTTGAATCTGTTAAACACTTCCTCTAATGATAACCAAGACGGAATATCTCATACTTCAACTATAAGTCAATCAACAAGTAATAATAAAAGAACTTACTCCCTTAATAATGATGATTTTTCTCTAGGATCATCTACATCAAAAGGATTTAGTATTCCCAAAGTGAACGAAATATCATCCTTACATCATCCCTCTACGTTTAATGAAGAAAATCTGAATATGAAATATAATTTAAAATATTATGCCACTCCAAATTTTCACAACCATTTAACTACATCTATGAATAATGACAAAAGAAATCTTAATCAAAATAAACATCAGAAAACATCATTTTCTGAAGATTTATTCTCTTCAAAAAACACATGAGCATTTCAATCACCATTAATACAGACATTAATATTAACGTTTAATCGGTTGAGAAGATCTTTGATAATTTGGAATTTCTAAGATAACGGTTTTCCCGTTATATCATAATAAAAGTGATTCAAAAAAGTACCCTAACACTTCAAATGAATACAACTTAAGTCATCAATCATGTATAGAATTAATATTATTATTATTTTTATTATTATTATCATCATCATCAATGATTGTATTGCTCTTCTCCATTTTGATGGTCTATTCAATGAATTCAAATTCATCAATCAAATACATAATCATTATTTCTTTCTTAATTTAATGGTAACAGCTTATGGTAAACAAATATAGAAATTATGAAAATATGAAATATAATATACATATATTTTCTTTTCAATTATGTTACATCTTAAAAAAAGTAGTAAACATACTACTTCTAATACTAATTTCGTCATTAGTAGTATTTTTAAAAAGAAATTAAGAATTGAAATAACTACTATGTTACAATTATACTAAAACTTTAATATATTCAATCATTCTATTTTAAAGTACACATCAGTAAACTTATTTGATTAACATACATAAATATTTGTTTAATTAAAACAAAAATTAAAAAAATTGTAAAGAAAAAATATTTTACTGTTTCATTTGAAATTTATTTCACACTTGCAAAATGTATAATGAAATAGAATATTGAATGATCAAATGTTTGTTCATAAATAGGTCAACAACAACAACAACAACAAAAATTTAGGTTTCAAAAGATGCTTCTTTTAAAATGAAACAATATTTAAATAAAATGTAAAACATTCATTGTGTATATTTTCTTTTTTTCTGTTGTTGTTATTGTTGTTGCTTTTAGGTGCAATCAGTATGTAATTAGAAATATTTCCATATTATATATATTTTAAGATAAAAATGTGTTTTTCTTGTATCTATCTATTCATATTGATGATTTTTATGAAAAAATTGGAATGTATAGACGTTCACTTTCATAAAGTGATTTTATAATAATGAAACCTGTTGTTTGTTGTTCGGAGAATATTCTCTAGGTTGACCATAAATTAATCGTTTAAACGAAGATCCAGTAGATATCCAACTGCAACGTCATCAATCTGCCTGTACTTTAGTCTCTTTAGTCATATCAGAAGTAAATCGTTCTTGTGAAAAGATCATTTTTGAAGAAAGCCGAAATATCAACTGATATCATTTCCTTTCTAGATTGTAGAATGAACAAAATCGAAAGAATCACAACAGCTGTGACTTCTAATCTGTTTTCTGACCAGTTTTAGAAATCCAACCAACTATTTGAAAATTAATCGGTAGGGAGAGTCATTGGTATTCATCCTCAAACAAAGGGGAAAACTTTTCATTTTATCTTTGGTATGCCATACAATTATGAAGTAGAATAACTCGATGGTCTTAAATGTCCGAAAAAGTCCCCGTTGGTGATTTTCTTGTCTTTAATGTTTTATTGAAGTTCCGTAAACTTGTATTCAATTTTATTGGTTGTATTTTTATCCCTAGAGAAATTATCAACATCTATCAGTTTACAGATTAATTTGCCTGTAAGTACGTCAAAATATAGGATAATTATGCCAAACCCTTTAATGAATAGAAGCATCAGTAAATCATCACTTCCTAAAGTATCATCAACATTCGTGTTCCCTTGATAGAAGCCATTGCGTAGTTGAGTTGTGTCAATATATTGATAGTGACAACTGATAAAGATTGATTTAAGTCACTTGAAATTTTTTTCAAAGACTGAGGTGAAGTAGCTTGTTTGCTTGGTGAGAATTTCCAATTGGGTATTTATGTGGAGTTGTTCCATTTCTATCTGTCTCAAAACTTTGAATCAGTCGATATTTCTTGCATTTGAAAGGTCAACGATGGAATATCAGAGTAGTTGTAAATATATTTTTCAAGCACTTAGGAAAAAAAGGTATTTGACATCGTCTGTTTTTATTATACGAAACACAGTCATTCAGTTTTCTGCAAATGAGCAATATGAGAATGGCTTTAAAGGTTATCCACAGATAATTTTTAGTTAAATTCATCCTTCTGACGAAAATGTTTAGAGAGTTCAAAATATGGATTGAAAGACTTTAAAAACAACATTTATATTGCAGTAATAACAGAAAGCTAAATTAGAACAACAAATACAAGCAAATAATATTATTTTCAATTTGATTCTCACCAAGCTTTACTCTAATATACAATAATATCTATATGCACATATGAAATTATCAAACCAATCAAGTCACTTTATGAGTCAGTGATGATAATGGAAGATAACAGTATAAGACATTACATAAACTTTTATTTCCGTTACATGGATTATACTTTGATAATCGTTTATGAGAGCATTGAAAAAAAGGAACTCTTAGAACTATTTAACAATAAACACTCACCAATCGAATTTAAATGTGAAGACGAACTTGAAGGTAAGATACATTTCCTCGACGTTATGCTAAACAGAAGAGGAAGTGGATCTATTAGTAGAAGTGTGCATAGAAAAAGTTGGTCTTCAAGTCCATACACACATTTCTCGAACCTTGTACATATTCATTATAAAAGAAACCTGGTTAGATATCTTGCAAGTAGATTGAGAAAGATACGTTAAGACGACACTGTAAACAAAGAACTGGAGCTTATTTATGATATGTTGATTAGAATAGGTTATCCGGAAGGTTTTCTGAAGAAACAATTGCATGTAATGAACAGAAAAATAGCGAAATCGGTTGTTAGTCAGAAACCTCTGTTCCTGAGGCTACAATTTAATGGAGATATGTCTGGTAATATTCTATGAGATAGACTGGCCAGAGGAATGAAGACAATATTTCATGCAGCTGACCTCTGTCTATCGTTCTCAAACCGACCTATTGGAATTCATCAACTAAAGGACGTTACCTGTTTTTGCCGCCTTTATGTATATCTACTAATTCAGCTGCTCCTGTGAAGAAAACTTTATTCGGCGCACAACCAGACGACTGAGCCAATGAGTTAGTAAATACCTCCCTTCATGGTTACGGAAGAGTATCATCAAAACAATGTACCGCTTTGTTCTATCATATTTCATCGATAGTGGTCATTTAGCAGAGGGATATAGGTCATTCAAAGTGATTTATCACATTCCTACTAGTTTCCTTTATGGGGTTAGATTTCATCCCTTAGACATAGCAGAAGTAATTGGAATTCGAGTTAATCACCCAAGTCTTCACATTCATAAGAAATTTATCGAAAGGGGTTTTGTGGTGATTTTAGTAGTTTTATAGTTGAATTCATGAGCCAATTGAAGCTAGACCACCATGGAAAATCTCGTGGATGAGCACTGCTGAGGAGTCCCACAATAGAAAGAAACGGCCGTCCAGTGTCTCCAGATTTTCCATGGTGGTCTAGCTTAAAGTGACTCGTGAATTCAATCATAAGAAATTTGTTCGAATTAACCTTAATAAAAGATTCTATTTATGATTTTTCGTACTCCTTGTTCATTCATTTCCTTCAGCCATCACTTTTTCTTTTTTAAATCCACGCTTCATTGTTCTATTATCTAAGCACATCTTATTACGAAATCTTATCATTTTTAATGAATGTTATTTTAGTATCTACATTTTTCAAGCCATTGACCTATTTCTTATTATGAAACATTGACTCACGCCTTGGTTATTCTTATCAAAACAAGTACACCTGTCATCACATTATCAATTTGTACTTTTTACTTATCATGTTTGTTTATGTAATCTATTTCATTGTTATCACTGACTCATAAACTGACTTGTTTGGTTTGATAATTTCATATATGCATATAGATATTATTTTATATTAGAGCAAAGCTTGATGAGAATCAAATTGAAAAGAATATTATTCGCTTATATATGTTGTTCTAATTCACAGAATGGGAATTTTCAATATTAAGCAGCCAAATGTTTACACTAGCTCTTTTGAATGAAAGACTGAAGTAGTATTAACAATGATTAGACAACGAAAGCCGTCTTTACTCTTTCATGAAGAAACCACTGTCATTAAGCACTTTCTAACTGATTTCTTTACAAAGGAAGTGAGGTAAATCCCTCTCTGCCATAGTAAAATAAAATAACTGTAGTGATGGAATTTCAGTTGTTACACACTTTTTTTTTAAACCATAAATTAACATTCATCCATTCTCTCAATTCTCCCATTTTATCTCACGATCTCTAATCATGAATGATGATACGAAGCCTTAATGTAGAATGAATTCGTTTTATTTCCAAAATTATGTTACTCCTGTATTTTCGCATTGGTCAGACAAGTCGCATGTTACCCATGACTTTTCTTAGAGCTAGTAAAATGAATAATGTAAATGTATAATTGATGCTTGAGGTTTAAAGACACATCATCAATTGCCATTTCTGAAATTATATAAGAGGGATTTTAACAGATCTCAGCAGTTAAAAGTGGATTTACGTGATCCGAAAACACTAATCAAATATAAGTAGGTAATTATTAATCTAATAAATTGTTCCGAAGCCCTGTACCTCTTCTTTGAGCTTAGTATCTTCTTGTCAGAGCTCATCACCAGGTGAGAGGAAATTCATTAACATTAATATTAATGGACATTTTTTTAGATTGCAAATAGATACAGCATCAGACATCACCATCATCTCACACAAAAATGGGATCAAAATGTGTAGCCCAAGCCTGCAGCGAACAACTCAAAAGCCTCGTACTGCATGTGGTAATTTCCTACACTTATCAGGACAATTGGAATGTAGAGTGACCTTCCGGGATTCGTCGTTTACCGGGGTATGTCATATAACTCCAGCTGATCTAAATTTACTTGGTTTAGACTGATTCGATCAACTGAAATTGGCTGATGTCCCACTAAATACCATATGCCACATGGTATCACAACCTCATGACACTGAATCGTATACCAGGAAGCTAATGGCGCAGTTTTCATCGATTTTCCAACCTGGTTTGGGACAGTGTTCTGCCATAAAAGCAACGCTTCGTTTGAAACCTGGAGCTAAGCCTGTCTTTCGTCCCAAAAGACCTGTGCCTTATGCGACGTTACCAACAGTAGATGAAGAATTGAACCGCCTCCAACAACAAGGAGTAATTACTCCCGTTTCTTACTCCACCTGGGCAGAACCGATAGTGGTCATCAAGAAGGTAAACGGAACCATACGAATATGTGCTGATTTTTCTACAGGTCTAAATGCAGCCCTTGAACAACATCACTATCCCTTACCAGTTCCTGCAGATTTGTTTACGATGCTGAATGGGGGAAAATTCTTCTCAAAACTGGATCTTGCTGATGCTTATTTGAAAGATGAAGTAGACAAAGCATCGAAGGGGCTGCTTACTATCAACACTCATCGTGGGTTATTTCAGTACAACCGTTTACCATTCGGTGTCAAGACTGCACCATCTATTTTCCAACAATTAATGGATACTATCTTGTCTGGCATCCCGGGAGTCGCGGCTTACCTTGACAACATTCTAATTGTTGAGGCAACGTTAGAACAGCTACAGGAACGAACGACATTCGTACTGAAACGCATCAGTGAAAACGTGTTCTGGTTACAACCTGAGAAATGCCAGTTTTTATTACGGTCCGTAAAGTATTTGGGGTTTATTTTTGATGCTGACGGCCGCAGATCGGATCCTGAAAACGTCCGAGCGATAAGACAGATGCTCACGCCCACGAATATCTCCGCACAACGTTCCTTCATGGGACTGGTCTCTTACTATGCCGCGTTCGTCCCTTCAATGCATGACATTCGTGCCCCATTGAATGGTCTACTGAGCAAGAACAGTACGTGGAACTGGACTAAAGAGTGTGATACAGCATTTTGTAAACTGAAGTCCATCATCAGATCGAAATTGTTATTAACGCACTACGATCCATGCATGCCGATCATTGTAGCTGCAG